GTGCACTCCATGCATCGCCGCTCCACTGCGCGCCCCACTGCGGGAAACCCCTGCCGCTCTCGAATCGCGATTAACGGCCCCCCTGCGCGCGTTCCACGCCCCATCGGCGCCCGCGAGCGCCCCTGGATGCACTTGCCGGGCGACGACCCGCGCGGCCGATCCGCTAGCTTCTCCGGCGTGGCCTCGCAGAGCAGCGCCCCGCGCGCGCGAAACAGACAGTCGCGCCCCCTGCGCCGTCGAGCTCCTGTCAACGCACTTCCGCACTTCCACGCGCGCCCATCAGAAGCGCACGATACTCCAGGGGCGCTCTCGCCCGAGGCAGCCGTCGGCAGCGCGCGCACGGACTGCTCAGACACCGACTCTGCCGCGCCCAGCCAACGCTGAAACTCGCACTTCCCCCCAAACGCAGGGCGACACACGGCGCGGCGCAGATCCCTGCTCCGACGGTCGTCTCGCGCCCCCCCCCTTCCCCCGCGGCGCCCGCGGCCATTCAGGCCAGCGCTGGAGCGGCCAGCGCGGGCGCGCCCGCGCACCCGCGGAGCGGCGCCGCGCTCGGCGCGCTGGAAAGGGCCTCTGCTGTCGGGCCGGGAACCTCAGGAACTGGATGATTGGGCTGCCCCTCGCGTCGATGCCCGGAAGGAAGAGGAGGAGGAGGATGAGGAGGAGGAGGAGGAGGGGGGAGGAGGAGGAGGAGGAGGAGAGGAGGAGGAGAAGGCGCTGGAGGAGGAGGAGGAGGAGGAAGAGGAGGAGGAGGAGGAGGAGGGGAGGAGAAGGAGGAGGCCCGGATGCTCCCGCTGGCTCCAGGCTCGCCCCGCCCGACGCCTCTCCCGCAGGACGCCCTCCTCCGCCCGCTCCTCCAGCTGCGCCGCGGGCCTTCGCCGGCGGCGCCCGCCCAGGCCGACGACGACGACGACGACGACGACGACGACGACGACGACGACGACGGACGACGACGGACGACGACGACGACGACGACGACCGACGACGACGACGACCGACGACGACGACGACGACGACGACGACGACGACGACGCGGGCGGCGCGGCTCCGGCGCCGGCGCCGCAGCTTCCTCCCGCGGGCGGCGCGGCTCCGGATGCCGCGGCGGCGGGGGCGCGGGCGCCGCGGCGCTGCCCGCCTCGGGCCCGCGCGCAGCCGCGTCTCCCGCGGCGCGCAGTCACATGCTGGGGCCGCTCCGAAAACGGCGGTTGCGGCGGAGCACGCGCGCTGCCACAGCCACCCCCCAGCTGCCGCGCGGCCGCCGCTCCAACGACGCGCAGCAGCCGCTCGAAGCGACCCCTCGCAATGCCGACGTCGCCCCGCGCGCGAACGGCTGCCCGCGCAAACTCTCCGCCCGCGCCCGACGGCGCAGGGCGAGCGTCTCCAGCTCGTCGTCGCGCGGCGCGATCGCCGCGCTCAGCCCTGCGCGCCGACGCACCGCGAGCAATTCTAAATCACTCGAGAAGAAACCTTCGTGCTGCGCGGCTCGCGCGCAGCGCGGGGGCATTCCGCCCGAGAAACCAGGAAACAGCTCCACCGAGGACAGAGACTCGAACCGACGCACATTCTGCAACAGCTCGCCAAGGACGGACGCGGGCCCAGCGGCAACCCCAATGAGGTCGCCCGGAACCCCGCTGACGGAACCGAGCGCTCCCTCTGGGAACGTCGCCAAGTTGTCGCTCCCACAGTGCTCCACCACACTCCTTCTGAACAGTTGCCCATCGGCGCTGTCTGCGCACGCGGCGTCGGCTTCGCGCGCGCCCGCCCCGTCACCACCAGATGCACCCCGCACCTCGCTCAGACATTCGCGTTCGAGCCCCGGCGCGGGAAATAATGGGCGCGAGGCGCCACCCCTCATCTGCGGCGCGCGAGGAGGCTTGCACGCTTCGACTACCTCCGCCCCCTGCATCGAGAGCGCTTCGCGCGCCCGCCCTTCTTCCTGCGCGACTGCCCCCGCGCGAGCCGCCCGGGTGCCCGCCGCGCCCCGCGCCGAACGCTCCCGCGCGACCTGCGCTTCCTCCAGCGCGACGCGGGCTCCGACATCCAGCCCCGCTTCTCGTTGAGCCCGCAGCTTTCGCTCGTGGCCTCGCGGTGCGCCGACGAGCTCGCGGGGCAGGTCCACGTCGCCCATGCGAACCCTGAACGCGCGCGCTGTCTGCCCCGACGTCTGCGCCAGAAGCGCGCGCGAACCTGGGCGGCGAAAGCCCAGAGGATATGAAGAGCCGAACGCTGCGTGAACTCTGCAAGCGCCACCATCGTCGGTTCTACACCTCCTGAGCCGCCGACCGGCCACGGCCGCCAGGTAGGCGGGCGGGCGCCTGGTGCTCATGCCCACTGCCATTGCAGATGGCGCACACGGGCGCCCCTTTTTCAGGGGGCGCAGCTGGGCACGCCGCAGCGCGCGGCGTGGCGGCCCGAGGCCGGCGACAGGGAGAGCGTCGCTCGGACGCCACTCCGCTCCGCCTTGGGCCCGAAGGGCTACGGGTTCGCGGTCGCCCGCGCCGCTGTCTGAGCCCTCGCGGAACTCCTCGGGGGCCCCCT